GCTGAAATTTAATACATTGCATAAAGTTCCAAATCCTAAAGATAGCTGCTGCTTTTTCTCATACTGTTTGCAAAGCTGTTTTGCTTAGTCCAAGACTGACTTTTCATAATTCACCTGAGGAAACAGACCAACCAAGCCAAATTCTTGCCTAACAAAAGCTGTGTACTTTCAGGAACTGAAATGCGTTATCCACATATAAACTCAGCAAACATTATGCCACTGATTCACATGCTTCCTTTGTCATACTCAAGTCTCGTAAAAGTTATCAGGGTATCACTCACTTTAAATCCACATCAATTTCAATGAAACAAACAAACAAACAAACAAAAAACAACAACAACAAAATAAAAACAACAAAAAAGGGGAGCTGTGTGTGAAATGTTTAGATAGGTTTTATTTCCTTCCTGTGTCTCCTGAAGTTTTACTGCTTAATGAAAAAATATGAAACACAAGAAAGGAAAAGAGACAATCCAATCTCACTATGACTCCATGAACCAGAAAGATTTTGCTGAGTGACAATATGATCATCATCATGTGCAAAAGCTTTTATCCACAACTATGAAGTTACTGTGTTATCCTACCACCTTGACAAATTCCATTCATATTACATTTTCCTCAGGAATAAAAAAGAATAGTGTATATAAAAAAAACCCACAACCAAACCTGAGAGTGTAAGGACCAGCTGCTTCTGTTTAAACCCAACTGTTTCAGTATTGATACAGCATAGCTAGGGCATGATGTCTTACGAGGGGCCAGCAGAGTACAACCTGTTTGATATTAAAAATATGTAGGGGTGTAGCTCCTCTTTGACTGTTCATAACCCCATCAGTGGGGAAGGGAGTTGCCCATATGCAGAAAAGAAGACAGACTAAATTACCATAGTGTATAGAAAGATGTATAAATTCTACTAAAGAGACAACAATTTTTTAAATATTTACTTTTTTGTACAACATAGTAGCTAGTTTTAAAAATTGAAGAGAAGAAATAGTCTTCTCATGCTTCCTATTTGCTTTTACATGACTCTATGGGGATGGAAATAATTATTTTATTCCAGTCCTTTCATTCTGTCTCTCTCCATCTCTTCATCTCTTCATCCATCCACCCACCCATCCATCCATCCATCCATCCATCCATCCATCCATCCATCCATCCATCCATCCATCCATCCCTGTCTTCCTTGTTCTACAGTTTGCTATGCACGCATGGAGATATTTGTACTGTATATAATTTATTATATATTTAATAGAAACTTTTATGTTTTAAAAGTTGCAGGGAGAAGAAAACAAATGTATTAAAAGCTATAGCTTATAAACAGAAATACAATACACATGTTCACAGGCACATAGAAAGAATAATGACATTTATTATCTAGCCAGTCACTTAAGAGGATAGCACAATATACACTATTCTGAATGCTAAGCAACAATGAAAATCTTAAAGTGATAAAACTCTCTCAATGTCATGGGAACACAACTGTCACTTGTCATTAATTTGCATCTCTCTATTTCTTCATATATCCTAAACTGCCTATTCTTACATAATTCAATACATTTAATAATGTACAAAATCAATTAATATTTACTGACCTGTCTCTGCTTCTCCGTGATGGGAACGCAGCATTACAGCCAGCCACTGTGCAGACATGCATCTCTTTTAAATGAACATTTCTGTAGTGAAGCTTCACACTGTAGGAACTCTTGAAACTTTTCTTGCATACATAGCAGATCTTAGGGTCTGGGCTGGAGCACATTTCACCTTCTGGGGAGAATTTCTGAGGGCTGCTGTAGTTGAATGTAGAAGCAAAACTTTCATGAAGGGCAGCCATACTGGCACTGCCTCCATTGTACAGTCCATACTGGCTCATGTAAAACATATCATATGTAGGGTCTGTATACTCTTCCTTCACCTTAATGACATCCTGGCTGGAAGAGTCATTGTGGTTTTCATCTGGTCTGTCACTGTGCATCATAGATTTATCACCAGGTTCATGGAGGCGATCATCACCTTCCATGGATTCTTCACACAATTTAGGCTCTGATGACTCCGATTCATTTTCATAGTCTCTCTCATGCTCCTGGTCTTCCGAGGTCATGCTGTCTGCTCTTCTTATGTCTGGTCTGGAAATGCACCTGCTTCTGTCACTTTTGGAAAAGTCTTTCACAGACAGACCTGGACTCATTTCCTCCTGAGAATGGCAGTGATTGTCATGACCAATGTCATTCACCATTGTGCTGCTGTCATTCACCTCTTCATCTTCATCATCAAACTCATCGGCAGTATCGATAACTTCTTTTTCAATTTTAACTGGCATGCTTGACTTCCTTGGCTTCTTCTTGGGGGCAAGGTCAGCATTAGGCTCTGGGGTGGGCATCAGTACTGAAGGTACTGATGACTCTGAAGGAGGAGGGGGATGCTGCTCCAGGCCACTTACTGCTGGTATTATTGGACTGGTAGGCAGTGAGGTTGGAGGACTCACCATCTCTCCAGGAGTAAGTAAATTTCTGTAAAAAGGAGGAACAGGTTGGACAGTCTTTAAAGCCGGGAACACAAGCTGACTGGGAAGAGGGTTCTGTAGTACAGGATCTAGAGGGGGAGTGGTAAACCCCATCGGTGGGCGCCCAGGACTTGTTAAAGTTAGGTTGGATTTTGTACTTGCTATGACTGGAGTGGCAGCACCTGATGTAGCACGGATTAGATCTTTGTCACGGTTATTCCTTAGCATAGGCATATGGAGGCGGGGATTCGGGTTAGCACTGTGGCGATTGCGGCTTCTGAGAGAGCTGAAGACCATATTGCAGCCCTCGATAGTGCACCGGTGCTTGATTTTCAGGTGAACCGCATTGTAGTGGATTTTAAGAGTACCTTTGTCATAGAAAGTTTTGCCACATGCATTGCAAAACACTCTTCCTTTCCGGGAGGCCGACCCCATCCTCCTCATTCTGTGAATGCGGAATGAGCTTTTAGTGTGTTCTGTTTTCGATAAATCATTGACAGGTGTTGGTGTCTGAACAGGAGAGACACAGGCTGGCTCAGTTTTGGGCTCAACATTTGTGATGCTGGTCAAAGTCAGTACTGAAGGTACTGATGACTCTGAAGGAGGAGGGGGATGCTGCTCCAGGCCACTTACTGCTGGTATTATTGGACTGGTAGGCAGTGAGGTTGGAGGACTCACCATCTCTCCAGGAGTAAGTAAATTTCTGTAAAAAGGAGGAACAGGTTGGACAGTCTTTAAAGCCGGGAACACAAGCTGACTGGGAAGAGGGTTCTGTAGTACAGGATCTAGAGGGGGAGTGGTAAACCCCATCGGTGGGCGCCCAGGACTTGTTAAAGTTAGGTTGGATTTTGTACTTGCTATGACTGGAGTGGCAGCACCTGATGTAGCACGGATTAGATCTTTGTCACGGTTATTCCTTAGCATAGGCATATGGAGGCGGGGATTCGGGTTAGCACTGTGGCGATTGCGGCTTCTGAGAGAGCTGAAGACCATATTGCAGCCCTCGATAGTGCACCGGTGCTTGATTTTCAGGTGAACCGCATTGTAGTGGATTTTAAGAGTACCTTTGTCATAGAAAGTTTTGCCACATGCATTGCAAAACACTCTTCCTTTCCGGGAGGCCGACCCCATCCTCCTCATTCTGTGAATGCGGAATGAGCTTTTAGTGTGTTCTGTTTTCGATAAATCATTGACAGGTGTTGGTGTCTGAACAGGAGAGACACAGGCTGGCTCCGTTTTGGGCTCAACATTTGTGATGCTGGTAAAAGCATTCCTG